GGTGCAGTGGTTGAGAGTCCACCTGCTGATGCAGGGGATGCGGGTTCGTGCCCCGGTCCGGGAAGATCCCACATGCCGCGGAGCGGCTGGGCCCGTGAGCCATGGCCGCTGAGCCTGCGCGTCCGGAGCCTGTGCTCCACAACAGGAGAGGCCACAAGAGTGAGAGGCCTGCGTACCGCAAAAAAAAAAAAAAGAGGAGCCAGAAATCCTTATTTTTGTGTGAAACTTCCCAATTTTTAAAACACAGCGCAGCCCAAACAAACATATCTCTGGGTTAAATATAGTCGATTAATGTGGGGGGATAAGGGGGTCAAAAGGTACAAATTCCCAGTTATAAAAGGAAAAAGTCATGGGGATGTTATGTACGGCAATGTTGACTATAGTCAATAATACTGTACTGCATATTTAAAAGTACCTCAGAGAATGGATCTTGAAAATTCTCACCACAAGGAAAAATACTTTTTGTAACTATGTATGGTGACAGATATTAACTGGACTTATTGTGATCATTTTACAATATATACAAATATTGAACCATTACATTGCACATCTGAAACTAATACAATGTTATGTCAATTATACTTCAATTTATATATGTATATATACAATGCAAATCTGTCTTAAATCCTCTCAATTCTTTCTAATTTATCAGGAGAACCTGCCAGGAAAACCTACCCAAATTTCCAATTAAGTGCACCCTCCAATACTCTTCCTCAAAGCAAAAAAGCTAAAGCTTCCAGACCATGCAAAAGGTAATAAAAAGGAAGAAGGCCTAAATGTGACCAACTCATCCCCATTTTGCTTTATTAGTTTCTTGAAATTCTTAGTATAAAAGTGGTAGTATGACTGGTAGCAGTTACAGTAAAATTTCTAAACTCCCAACTATTTAAGAACTCTGATACATCTGTCATAATGTAATTTAACCTCTGTAGTACTTATAAAAATTTTAATGATCTTATATATCACCAACAGTACTATAAATCACTTTACTTAATTTCTTACATCAGGTAAAGTTTATACCTCATTATTATACTATAACTGCTTCAAACACTTAGATGTTAATGGACTCAGTATACTTACCAAAGTTTATGTAAATCTTCATTACTTTTGTTCCTTAATTGCTGACAGGTCCATGAAGCTCCTATTAAAATGATAAATTCATAACATGAAATAATTTTCTAGCTACATGCCCTTTGGCAAATTACTTAGCCTCTCTAAACCTGTTTCCTTATCTATAAAATGTGTAATAGCTTTATTATATTATAGTACAATATATAATTAGGATTTGTAAATAAATTAGATAACACATATGAAAATATTAGTAATGTGACTGGCAACAGCATTCAAAAACTGTTATTAGTAGTAAAGAATGTACCTTCACAGTCTAATGTCAAAATACTTAGTATCATTATAAATTAATTTTCAATTATCTCTTAAAAAATGAAATGTAAAACAAACCCCAAACCACACTTTAGTTAATTTCAACCTACTCCTCTTCTAAACCTTTTGCCAACCTTCCAAGGAACAGTTAACTCTACTATTATACTGTCCTTCTAATCTTCTCTAATAGACATTCCCAAAGGAAATCAAAAAAGGAAACACTTAAGTAATTCCCAAACTGGATAAATAATCCCAAAATGACAGAGGGTTCAATAAAATTATTTAATATAGGTCAACCCAAATATCTCACCAGATTTCACTTTTTCTTCCCCCCAGTTCTTTGGGTCATCAAAAAATTCTTCCAGTCCTCTCCTAGACAATGTGGTATGAAGTAATCTACACTGGTGAAAAGATGTGACGTTTGGTGTATTCTTAGTCAACAGACAAAGAGAAAACCTGCAACTGAACATATATAAACAAGTGATTCAAGTTTCACAACATTTGGATTTTATAAGCAATAAACGGAATCATTTCCTCATCTACAATGTCAAAAAACCAACTTGGGGTTTCTGCCCAAGAAACGATAAACTCATAAAATGCTTTAGAAATTATTTTTAACATGCCATTATATATGTTGCTATCCTGTAACTTCAGAGCCAATATATTGACATAATTATATATATATATTTTTAAAGGTATTTTTAAAAATTTATTTATTTTATTTATTTATTTTTGGCTGCATTGGGTCTTTGTTGCTGTGCACAGGGTTTTCTCTAGTTGCAGTGAGCGGGGGCCACTCTTTGTTGCAGTGCACGGGCTTCCCATTGAGGTGGCCTCTCCTGTTGCAGAGCACGGGCTCCAGGCGCCCAGGCCTCAGGAGTTGTGGCTCGCGGGCTCCAGAGCGCAGGCCCAGCAGTTGTTGCGCACGAGCTTAGTTGCTCCGCGGCATGTGGGATCTTCCCTGACCAGGGCTCGAACCCGTGTCCCCTGCCTTGGCAGGCGGATTCCCAACACTGTGCCACCAGGGAAGCCCGACATAATTATATTTTAAGGTAACATTTTTAAGTCCTTCATATGTGGCTAGTGGGCATATAAGCAGATAAAAACATTCTGAACTTTAATTTTGCAACACATCAGAGACCCCAATGCTTCCTCCTTTAACCCAGTAATTCCACTGCATTTAGAAATTTCAACTAAAGAAATTATCAGAGGGAGTCCCCTGGTGGCACAGTGGTTAAGACTCCAAGCTCCCAATGCAGGGGGCCTGGGTCTGGGAACTAGATCCCACATGCATGCTGCAACTAAGAGTTTGCATGCCACAACCAAGGAGCCCACATGTTACAACTAAGGAGCCCTCGAGCCACAATTAAGGAGCCTGCCTGCCACAACTAAAACTTGATGCAACCAAATAAATAAAAAAATAATAAATTTTTTTTAAAAAAAGACAAATTATCATAGATGGGAATTGATAAATCAAAGTGTCTATTGTGATCATTTTGTAATGTATAAAAATATAGAATCACTATGTTGTACACCTGAAACTAATATAATATTGTAAGTCAATTATACTTTTAAAAAGTCTATTAAAGCATTATATATGATATCAAAAAGCTGATAATAATGTAAACGTGTAACTGGGGAATGGTTAAAAACATTACTGTGCATCTGTATGATAATCTATTATGCAGTAATCTAAAAGTCATGTTTATAAAGAATATTTAATGACACGGAGAAATAACTTAAAATACAATAATGAAGTGTATGACAAATGTTGTATTCCTACCTAGAAAAATTTAACGTGAATCTAATCATGAGGAAACAATCAGACAAATCCAAATGAAGGAATATTCTAAAAAGACTGACCTTATTAAAAATGTCAATATCATGAAAGAGAAAAAAGGAACCATTCTGGATTAAAGAAGACTAATGATACATGACAATTAACCGGATAAATGTTCATTGACTGGACTCTGAATTAAAAATTAAGAAAGAAAAAAAAAATTCCCCAGTGTGATCACTGTAGTATTGTGGTTAAGACAGTGTTCTTGTTCTTAGGAGATATATGCTGAAATGTCATGATGTTTGCAATTCTGACATGCCTCAAATAGTTCAGAAAAATAAAGGCATGGATATAAAAAGTATAGAAAATGTGACAAAATGCTGAGGATTGGTTAACATAGGTGCAGAGTATATGGTCATTCTTTGTACTACTCTTACAACTTTCCTTTTGGTTTGAAATTTTTTTAAATAAAAAGTTGGAGAAACAAGGGTAGAACACAAAAACACATATACGTAAATATTATTCTGATTTTATTTTAAAATTACATGTATGTCTATATATTCAAAGTTAAAAAGAATAGAAGAAAATCTGTTTATCTCTGAATGGTAAAACCATAGTTGATGTTTACTTTCTTCTTCAAAGCACTTTACCCTATTTTCCAAAGTGTCTGTAAATGAACAGATATTTATTCAACAGTAATGATAAAATCCAAATTTTTTTTAAGGAAAAACGATGATGAGATGGAAGAGACGACTGACTCAAGTTTGCTACTTTTCCAGTTACAACCCCTGAACCTCTGAAAAAAACAAACCAAAAAAATTGCTTATCTCTGAGGTTAATGTAAGTTCACTATATCTGAGAGATGCCCAATAAATGTGCTGGATTCAAGAGCACATACATTACTTCCTTTTTTTAAAAAAATGACATACCCAACTACTTGTAAAATTTAACTCATTAGAAACAAACGCTAATAAAAGGGAGGAAATCGTACACCATAACGTCAAAAATGATCGGTCTGTCCAGAAGACAAGCGGTCTTTCTAGAAATAATAACCAACACGTGTAGGATATTCTTTTCTCACACCTGCAGGGCGGCTTTCCGTTCATTTGGCTACTTTCATTTATTCACTCAACATTTACTGAACAATCTCTTTTTGACAGACTCTGGGAGTACACCCTCCCACCCCTTTTTTAATCCATCCAAACCTGACACTGCCTTCAGTTCCACAGCCAAAAGCTCTTCAGCGAAGTTTTTCCCAACTCACCCTGCCGAACAGGATGCTTCCGTACCTCTAGGTTTAGTTCAACAAATACTGGTTTTCTACAGATCCCACTAACTGCCTGGCCCACAGTAGGTGGCAACAAAATGTTTGAGGAACATACGGAAATGTCGCAGGTGGGGGACTTCTCCAAGGTCACTCACTCCTCACGGACGTGGGTTCGGGCCCAGCCATCCCAGGAGCCTTTCCATCCCTAAGCGTTTCTCAGCACCTCGGCAACCAAACAAGATCCAAAGTTGGAGAAATGGACAGACCTACTCCTCACATCACTTACCTTGTGCTAGCAGGGGCCTGAGGACTTATTAACGACCTGGAAGCCTTCAGGGCCGCCGAGACTCTTCGGCAGAAAACAGCCAAACAGGCGGCAGCCATTTTTCCGCATAAGTAAGCAAACCGCATTTCCGCCACCATGATGTCACTTCCGGCGTCTCACGCCGACCGGATGACGAGACAGGAATTGGCTTTGCCCTCACTCAACATGGCCACATTCCAGCTTCGCTCTCGTTGAGAAACTGGCTCTCTCGGCTCCCGTCACATTTGCCCACTCGTCTCTTGCCCGTAGTAGCTATGGCGGCCATGAGTTTACTACTGCGGGCTTCGGTCTCTGCAGTGGCCGCTCTGTCTGGCCGCCGCCTTGACACTAGACTTGTATTCGGGGGCTTCCTCACCCGTGACTTTCCGAAGACTGTCGGTGGGTACTGGCTTTGGGAGAAAGCGCTATCAAGAAACGCGGGAGGAGAGATGGAGGACTCTTCCCGGGTGACCTTGGTGGAATCCGGAGAGAGCTGGGAGAAGTTGAGGACTTGGGACTTGAGAGACGGAGCATGGGCTATGTGAGGAGACTGAGGGTTTTCCTGGAGTGATCAAATCGATCGTGTTTAAGTAATTAATTAGAATTTGTGAGACGCTTTGTCATTCACCTATCCTGTTGGTGGTAATTTGCGGTTGAAGCTGATGTTAGAAAGGCAAAGAGCTGAGACCCATGTCTCTCAGGCACCAAGATTCTTTATATGTTCCACCTGCGCTACGTTTTAATCTCGCAAGGTGGGAAGTCATGTTGCTGAGGAGCCCGCTGATGCTAAGTAATAATATTGATATATGGACAGGTGGAGAGGCTCAGGGCTAACTCATCTGCTAGGCACAGTGCCTTCATGATACTTTTAGGTGTCCACGAAAATGTTTTAATTTAAATTTCTTTTAAAATCAGAAGGAAAAGGGCTATAATGTCAATGCATATGTGATGCTGAATCCAGCCTGAATTGTATTCGTTTTATATCAACGGAATCATAAAATAATTATTTTTAATGTCTTCTTAGAGAGGAAGGGACCTATGAAGAAAAAGTTCCTATGTCTTAGGAAAGTCAGTGCAGTCATGGGAGGATTATTTGGAGCCTCTTAGAGACTGTGGGTTGAACTCTAGGGGAATGAATAATCATAATAGCAAAGCATCAAATGCTTTGTATCCAGTCTGCTTTATTCCCTTTTGGATTCTGCAAAGTGAGTACAGTTTTACCCCATTTTACAGATGAGGAAACTGTGACTCAGTTATTACAAAAATAATGCACTACTGTATTAAGTTGAATAATAATAATGGGAGCTAACATTTATTGAGCACATATTATGTGCCGGGCACCATTCTAAGATATTAAAGGTATTCATTTAATCCTCTTGATCAAAAATATACTGTAAGCGATTTGTCCTATGCAATACAAGTAGATACAGAGGAAGTGAAATTTAAAGCCCAAAAGATTCTTCTCCAACTTAAAAATATCTTTTTCTGTTTACTGCTCTTCTCCCAATTTAATTTGAATTATGTCACTTCACATGATGAGGCATTATACACTGATGCCATGAGGGACTTGCTGGAAAAATGGAAAGGACCAGTGGCATTGAACAAATTTCCGGCAGGAATTTGAACCTGTTACAAAACTACATGTGCTTACATTCTTTGATAAAATTCCTTTGTAAGCCATTTCTGATTACAACTATCCTCTCCAAATACCCCCTCCCCCCATATACTTAATCATGCCTACCTGGAGATAAACTGAGGTAAAATTTCTCCCCTAGATCCCATTTATACACTATTCCCCATTCTTGGAGTTCTGGAAGGATCCTCGCAGGTAATATACACCCTTTCCACTGGGAGCAGGAAAGGATATGATAGCTATAGTGAGGTTACTGTGTTTCAGCAGTGTACCTGCTTTCAAAGGTATCTTGCATGTGAAACCTAATCTATCACTGTGGAATGAAAGGTTGTAATCTAATTTATATTATTGTTTATGTCTGCCTCTAGGAGAACGTAAGATCCAGCAGAGGAGAGAACCTTGTCTGGTTTTGTTTCCTCTGGAGATAGACTGCCTAGGTTTAAATCCTAGCTCCAGAGTTTCGTAACTCTGTGAGCTTGGGTCATCACATCTGGGAAGCTAAGTGGAAGGCACTTAATTGCTCCAAACCTGCATTTCTTCATCGTTAAAAAAGAGGATTTAGAAAGAAAAAAAAAGAGTATTTTATTACAAGTGTGCTTATTTTCTGTTGACAGGGAAATAAAATAAAACTAATCTCTTTCCCACTGACAAGTATTTATAACCCTGAAATGTGTTTCTGCATAATTTTGCATCTTTCTAGAAATGTCATTTTGAATGAATTTGTCTCTTACCATAAGAACTGTTTTGTTTTGTTTTTAAAAAGAGGGTGATAGGGCTTCCCTGGTGGCGCAGTGGTTGAGAGTCCGCCTGCCAATGCAGGGGACAGGGGTTCGTGCCCCGGTCCGGGAAGATCCCACATGCCACGGAGCGGCGAGGCCCGTGAGCCATGGCCACTGAGCCTGCGCGTCTGGAGCCTGTGCTCCGCAACGGGAGAGGCCACAACAGTGAGAGGCCCGTGTACCGCAAAAACAAACAAACAAACAAACAAACAAACAAAAAAAACAAACAAACAAAAAAAAAAGAGGGTGATAATTTTAACTTACCTCAAAGGTAGTGGTAAAGAGTGAGTGGGAAAAATCTACAGCCCTGGGCATTACCTTTTACAGGGCCCTGTGGTCTCACCTTTCTTAAACATCTAGTACTGTCATGTTATCATCAATCACTCTCAGTGAAAGCCTTTCTCAGAAAATAAGCAGATAAAAGTATTCTGTTTAATTATTTATTAAATGTCAAACATCAAGGGATTCTAGAAATAAGCCTAAGTTCTCCCCTCAGCTGCAGAGAACTTTTATGTTGAAGGCTGATGTGCATATAATTATGGCTTTAAAACCTGAGAAGAGTATTAAACAAAGTAGTGTGGACTTAATTCAGATATGGATGATGAGGCATGTTAACTGGATTCCAGGGATAGTTTTAACAGGTGCAATTGATGGCAAAGTAAAGGATGTGTTTTCGGATATATCTGAATATGGGGCTCTTGGGATAGGTAGGTGTTGAGAGAGAAGGTTAAAAAAAGAGGAGTTAGGACCTAATTAGGGGAGGGACTGAATACAAAGCCAAAGTATCTTAACGATTTTGTAGGCACCCGAGAGTATTTTAGCGGAAGAGCAGCATCAGTAGTATGTTTTAGGAAGATGCTTCTGAATATTGGATGGCTTATCGGGCATGTTGATTTCTTAAGCCACTGAGGTGAAAAGATCTTGGAGAGAAATGGAAAGTTTGAATTTTAGAATCAAGAGGCCTTGACAACTGATGAATGAGGCACAGGAAGATGACTGAGATTTTTTAGCCTGGGTAATTGAGTTGGTGGTGCCATTAACTGGGAATAGTCTGAGAATGAGGGAAAGAAAATGACCAATTTTGGCTGTTGTCTTGGAGACACAAAAAAATCTGATATTATCTTATTTGATCCTCACAAGTATCACAATTGTCCAAAGCATAACTTTCCTGAAGTTATTTGCATTAAAAAAAATTGGTTAGTGAAACCTTAGTTCCACGTAATTACTGAGTAGCTTAATTGAGACATTCCAGGCTGTAGAGAGTGGAGGAAAATGCCTATTTTTGTGGCAGAAAGATTGAGTTCCAGAAATCCTGGTAGTCACCTGGTTGTAAGCAATATTCACTCTAATAATTTTAGGTTGTAAGCAGATAGCCCTACTACAACAACAAATCATGAAGGCTCAGAATATTTGAAAAGAGTTTAGTGCTATGAAATATCCTTTAGAACAGTTAATAGTATAACAGTTACCTAACACATTTAATGGCATGAATAATTGTTGTTTAACAGTAGGGTAATTATATGTAAAGAAAGCAAGAAGTTCACATTACTAACTGTTTAATATTGCTAGAATGCAGCCAGCTCAAGCTTTCTTCCATAGTTTTTGTTGTTTGTTACACTTTCCACATCTACTAATACTGTCATTTGTAATCAGTTGTCCCTAAGACCCCACATAGAGTTTAATCCTTACATGTTTCTCTGTGTGTGTGTGTGTGTGTGTGTGTGTGTCTGTCTGTCTGTCTGTCCATCTGATTGAAAGGGAAAGTTGGGAGTATACTGTCTCTTCTGAGAAGATTTACTTTCAGGGACTAAAGAAAGATCCCCTACCAACATTAAATTTACTTAAGAAATGTAAAGTCAACAATATTTATGGAGTTCCTACCATGTGGCAGACACTAAAGTGTACTGGAGATACACTACTGAATGATTCAGCTTAGTGCTTATTGTTCTAAAGGAAATAACCAAATGATATTAAGGAGAATAAGTGGGAGACCAGCTGTGGATATAGGGTAGTCAGAGAAAACTTTGAGGAGGTAACATTTGCTCTTACCTCTGAAGGATGGGGTGAGGAGCTAGCCATTCAAGGAGCCTGAGGAAAAGCTTCCAAGCAGAGAGGAAGGTTAAGTGCAAAGGCCTGAAAGCAGGAAAGAGTTCTTGGTGTTGGAAGGAAACTATTGAGATTGATCAGCAGGTAAGGTTTGTCTTTTTATTCTAAGAGAGGCCATCTATTCAGATTCTTTGAGGGAAAGGACCTTAGAAATCTTATAGGCCACCCCCTGTAGTATGCTAATCCTTGTTACATTCCATTAGTGATACTCGAATAACTCCATAATGGGGACTGGGGAGGCAGTCCAATTTTATTTTCAACCACTAAAATTGTTAGAAACTTCTTCCTTGTATTAAGCCAAAAATTACTCTTTTGCACATTGATCCTAGTTCTTCCTTTCAGGTCAGCGCAGAATAGTGTAAGCCTTTGTCATTGGACAGCCTTCAGCTATTTAAAGGCACTTCTCTGGTCTCTATCTTGACTTCTTTTTTGTAGGCCAGTCAGCTTCAGTTCTTTCAGTTTCAGTAGGTCAATTTCCAGGTTGTTTGCCGTCCTGGTTGCTTAACTTAGGACGTGCTCCAGATTGTCCCTCTAAAACAGTGTACTCTGGGATGGGCACACTTCCACAGGTCTGGTAAGACATGGAGGTGGAGGGCTCCTTCTGTTTTGACCCTGTATTTCTGGTACATCAGATTAAGATTGGATTACCTTTGTGGTTTTTTGGTAACCACATCCACATGACACCAATGACTTTTTCTTTTTTTTTTTTGGCCATGCCACGCAGTTTGCGGGATCTCATTTCCCCGACCAGGGATTGAACCTGGGCCATGGCAGTGAAAGCCCGGAATCCTAACCACTAGGCCACCAGGGAACTCCCACCAGTGACTTTTCTTAAGTTTGTGAGCCACTAAACTTCTGGAGTGTTCAAGTAGGACTTTCCACTTACTATACTTAATCCTTTTAGATTCAGCCTTTTGTAAGTGTGTAGTAAGACTTTTGGGGGGATCCTATTTCATCATTGGTGTAGTAGCCACTCTTGTAGCAGTTGCTCTGTATCATCAGGAATACCATCTCCACCACACTCAGGCCATTCATAGAAATTGTGAGAGAGCCCTTTGGCAGGTTACTGCATTAAGTAATCAGCACCTTTTGGGTATAATCAATCAACCAATTACCCATTACAGATTTCTTCTAACTTGCTACTTCTCTCAGTTTATAATGTGCCTTCCTCATACCTCCCCAACTCCACCAGCCTGTCTAAAGAGGGGCTTTACTTCTGAGCCTTTTCTTTTCTGACACTATATCCTGTTTCTTTCCTTTGTTGTCCTTGTAGACAACAAAGACAACAAAGATTGTTGTCTTTTACAATATAGATTTGTAATTATATTATCTATTTTTTCCTCCCAGCAGAATCTAAATCCCTCTTATACTATAGACCTAGCATAAGACCTGTACATAGTAGGCACTTAGATATTTATTGAATTAATGAGTGGTTTGTACTGTTATCCAGCCCATTTTTTTAATCTAGTCCACAGAAATTTCTATTGTATCTTTCAGATGATTTGCAGAAATATATACTTACCTTGTCAAATTCTCTTGTTAATTTAGAAGCCTTAGTAGATGATTTATACTTAGTAAACTCGTGCCAGCTTCTAATTCTCTTGTGAATTAACCTTCTAAATTCATTGCAAGCTGCTGCAGGTGGTATCAAAATTTAAGACAGTTCCTGCCTTCGAGACACTTATATTTCAGTGGGGGCAGTGAAAGCAAGTTTACACATCAGTAGAATATACAGCAGTTCAGAGGTAGGAGAGCTCTCATCTGGTTGGGAAGCATGTTGGTTTCTTGGAGGATGAGATGTCACCTGGGCCTAAAGAATAGATTTCAGGAGAGGGGAGGTCATTCTTGACATTTAAGCTTGAACAAAGGATACAAATCTTTCTGACATCTATTATGATTAAAATTCCTTTAATGGGAAATTAGTTTTTTATTCAGCAATGACTCATGGGAAATTCCCTTGAATGCAGTTACAGAGCAGAAGCATAGTAACCCTCAGTTTCTCAGTAATGTTAGAGCCTTTCCTGCTTTTAGCAGAAAGGGCTTAGAGTGGCAATAGTGATCCTTCCAGACTTCCAAGAAAGGGAAATCGCATAGAAAGCAGATCCAAGAGTGAGAGTTTTGCCTCAGTTTATCTTCAGCAAGGCTTGATTAAATACCGTATGGGAGAGGATTTGAAGAGAAGGATATTTACAATAAGAAATGGCTTATGCATTTGCAGCAGCATGGATGGACCTAGAGATTATCATACTAAGTGAAGTAAGTCATACAGAGAAACACAAATATTATATATCACTTATATGTGGAATCTAAAATATGATACAAATGAACTTATTTGCAAAAGAGAAACAGACTCATAGACATAGAAAACAAACTTATGGTTACCAAAAGGGAAAGCAAGGGGAGGGGGATAAATTAGGAGTTTGGGATTAGCAGATACAAACTCTATATATAAAATAGACAACAAGGTCCTACTGTATAGGGAAGGGAACTATATTCAGTATCTTGTAATAAACTACGATGGAGAAGAATATGAAAAGGAATATATATATTTATAACTGAATCACTTTGCTGTACACCAGAAACAAACACAACATTGTAAATTATACCTCAACTAAAAAAAAATAGAAATGGCTTATAAAGGGATTTTATCAAGACATATTAGAGTGTGTTCTTTTGAACAAGTTCAAATTCCTGCTAGAGAGATATTGAAAAAATATCTTTCCATTTATTTTGCATCAAGTCCCTAATGTATATTGCCTCATCATATGAGGCAATTTAAATTAATTTCTTTTGCAGCATTAGCAAATATTTATTGCAGAGGTAAAAAAAGGTACATAGCCCACCAAGAGTATCTGATCTCCCTGCCTGCTACTGAAACAAATTCAAATAATCATTTAGATATTTCTTTAATAAATATCAATATCTTGAATATTGATGAATAAAAATGATGAAAATATTGATGAATATGTTGAATAAAAATGAGGAGAGCTATAGTTTAGAACAGTATATCAATCTCTGTTTAAAGATATCCTAGTATTCCCTGCCTTTAGTACTCAAATAAAGAAGCATGTATTTTTTTATCTTAATCATATATATATATGTATATATGTATTTTGGCAGAGGAGGGATGCTTTATCTTAATTCATATTAAACATTTATGCATGTATGTTTTCGTATAGTCTGACTTTTATCTCAAAATATAACAGTATATCCATATAAACCTTGTATATAACAGGGTTATTTAATATTTCCAGCTCCTGTGCGACACAGTGGAGACCATGGGAAAAGACTGTTTATCATCAAGCCTTCTGGATTCTATGACGGACGTTTTTTGAAATTAATGGTGAGTTAAAACTTGTTGAACTAAACTCTTTACATATAAATAGGAAATTTTTTTCCTATTTAGAAAACATCTTTCATTTTATAAAAGATTTTTTTTTGTAAATTCATATTCCTTTTCTCAAAAAAATGTTGAGATTGAGTAGTAAGGTCTGGTTTGTTACTGAATTTATTTTTTTATTTTTTTATTTTTTTTGCGGTGTGCGGGCCTCTCACTGTTGTGGCCTCTCCCGTTGCGGAGCACAGGCTCCGGATGCGCAGGCTTAGCGGCCATGGCTCATGGGCCTAGCTGCTCCGCGGCATGCAGGATCCTCCCGGACTGGGGCACAAACCTGCGTCCCCTGCATCGGCAGGCAGACTCTCAACCACTGCGCCACCAGGGAAGCCCCCTGAATTTATTTTTAAATTAGTGAACCTTTCCTTCTTCAAAAAGAGAATTCATGCATATTGGAGGTAAAAATTGAAACATTCCTTTCTTCTCAAGATTATGATGTTTTGAAATCATCTGTGTTCCCTGACCAAAAGAAAAATCTATAAATTATAAAACTGAAAATGGATTTATTTGGGGATAATTATTTATATTACTAATATATTCTTTAAATTAACAAAGAACTCATTGAAGGACTTCTTTAAATATGTAACTCCATTATTTTGGGATATGATTTTTTATTTCTTTGTTGTTTAGGAACTTTGATTTCAGAGAGTGAAGCAGGGCATTGACTGCATGTTTGTATCTCAAGACTCTGTAAAGAAAAGTAGAGACTTAGAAGGTGGAAGACTGGACTCTGCCACTGTTCCTAAAGCTGTGACCCACTGGCTGCCCTCTAGACCTTCCCTTGCCTGTCCATTGTGCTTAATGCCCTTCTCCATCCCCATGGTTGAGCTCCTACTTTTCTTGTGATGACCAACTCAAACTCCAGAAATCGCCCTTATCTTCTTACACTTTTATTCTTAATATAAAAATTTCTTTTATGACATTGCTTTAACCAAAAATGAAAAATCACTTAAATATATATTGCATTATACTTGTACAATTAGTCTTTGCTTTCTTCTTTCATTTTTGACACTAAATATAGGCATCTAAAAGCTAGAGCAAAAGAAAATTACAGAAATAAATAATTTTATACAGCATCTCCAATTTGGCAAGTTTATTTTATAAGAAATATAAGGAAATCATGTAATGAGGACAGTTTGAGTGTGAGGAAAGGAGTTAGGAAATGGTTATGTGAAAACTTTTTTTAATCTTAACAGAGATTCTACATTTTGTTGACTGGGATTCCAGTAGCAATTGGCATAACTCTGGTGAATGTATTCATCGGTAAGTATCTCCCCCACCGACTAAATTAGTAAATTTTTAAAACCTGTGTACATTAATATAAAAAAGAAATTATGGATATTGTAAGGGAAAGTTCTTCAAATAATAAACATAAGCATGAGAATTTATTTTAAAATAACCAAATCTTAATCTGCAATAGCACACAATGGTTCTTTTTTTAACTTTTTGTTTTCTCCAAAAACCTTTAAGGTCACTGACTGTATAGGCCACATAAAAGGCCTGTCTTCTTCCTCTTTCTCATTTCCCAAAACCAGCTTTGAGAAGTCTGAATAAGGAAAATAGAAAGAGATACAGGTGGAAAAGAGGCTGAGGGATGGAAGAACTTTTTTATCCATCCTGGAACATATAAAGTTGTAATCTTCCAAAAAAGAATGGATTTGTGAATGATAGTAACTATTAGGTCTCCTGGGAAATTCTGCTCAGAGTACTTCTAACATCTTGAATCCTAAATATTTTGTCTAGGACGTTTAAGGAAAACCAGAGGAATAGTATGTCTTTTATTTTATCTTCTTACACTATATAAAAACAAAATGAGAACCCTCATATAATGCCTATATACAATGCATTACACACAGAAGACATCTAAAAAATATCTAATGAATGATTTTCCACCAGCTTGAAGTGAATTTAAAATATTCGATATCTTCACTGACTACAAAACAAAAGGTTCTTTAAAACCACAAGAGGTTGGTTTCTTACTTAAATAGTGAAGGATTAACATTATAAACTCCTGATACTAAAGTTGAATATCACTGTTTTCTCTTATTAGGTGAAGCTGAGTTAGCAGAAATTCCAGAAGGCTATACCCCAGAACACTGGGAATATTTCAAGGTTGGTATAGGTCACTGAAAGTTATTTTCAGTTAGGTGTCTTGTCAATGTACTGGTTAATATCTTAATTTAGCAATTGTGGTATAGTTTCGTATTCAATTTTTTATAACAAGTAAATGATGCATTTTGTGCTCACGTTTTATAAGTAACTTTTGGTAATTTTCTGCATTGTTTTATTACCTTAAGCTTTATGGTTTTTTAAAGACTGACTCTGCACTGTGTTCTCAACCTAGAGAGTAACAGTCAGAATTTATCCTACGTTCTATGCCATAGGGAAAGCTGTACTGATACTAATGCTAGCTGTCATTTATTGAACACCCACTGTGTAGCAGACACTATGATAAGTGTTTTGAAAATATTATCTCATTCCATATAAATGGTACTATTATTATTTCTGCTTTAGAGATGAGGAAGCTGAGGCTTAAAAGAGGTTAAGTGCTCTGTCTAAGGGATAGGGTCAGTATTTGAACCCAGGCAGTCTTGACTCCAGAGCCTGCACTGTTAATTAGTCATTTTACCATACTGTCATGGCTACCAAAACCCAAAATTAATTCTGTTACTTGTCTTTACAAGTGTTGTAGTGAGATGGTCTTGATTATAGTATACCTTATCATGTTTTATTATCTGAATGAAATATATTTTAGAAAAGAAATACTTCATTATTAGATCTTAAGGTAAGCCATATAATTAGTTTATCTTGGCTGAC